AACCCAGAAGACGGATATCTTCATACTCACCGCTGTGAAAACCTCAAGTCTTACAAGAAGAAGATAGCACCTTCTCCCTGCTTTATTACATGTAGGCTAAATGGAAGAGCTTATTAACACTGAAACGTCCCATCCTCATTTATTCTGTTCCAAAACAACGCAAGGCCAATTTTTTTTTAAAACGTCGTCGATAGATACAAATCGGTACACGTGACGCACGTCCATATTCTGACTTTGTTTTGTAAACGACAGATTTTAAGAGCTCAAAGTTCTCACTGATAATTTGCGTGTAATGTTGAAGTCACCACTGGTTCCATTTAAGACACGAACAAAACACTTTGCTTCGAAACTCAAAGCCGTATTTATAACCATCACAAACGCTGATTATTTTATTTACAAAATGTCTTAAGTTCGTGGTATGTTTACGTAATTTTTAAGGTTACAGGTTACTTAAATTTGTTTTAAAACATCGAAGTATCACTGTGACCGAAATATATAACCTGTATAGTCCCTTATGTTTTAACAGCGTTGAACTTTTTATATTCTTACGTGAAATGGACACCAAATATCACAGTTTCCTAACGAAGACGTAACCAGTAAGAATACAAATTACCCCGAGAGTTTTAATTCTGTTGGTCTGACCTCATAACCGTTTCATTCGGAACTGAAAACTTTTTTATTTTTGACAGAAATTTGACGAAATTCAACGACCACTGTCTACTCACCTGGCTACATGTAGCTGCAGTTGGTTGTTGTTGTTGTTTGCACGATTCATAGGTACACTGCCATTCCAGCAAACGGTTAACCTCGTGTGCTGAACCTACCATCCCCATGACGACGCCCCAAAAACCGAAGCGTGGCCCCCTTCTCCTGTCAACGCGAACCCAAACCACAGCCTTCCTCACCATTCGTCAGCCCCGGATTTCACGCCCATCTCCACCCCTCCACTGCATATGAGATGACACGAAGGTTCTAGATTTCGCGGCGATCAGCGTGGAAGCTGTCGGGAAGGTCCCGTTCCCGCGATACCAGCGAAGACGTTGTTCCCATCAGCAGCCTGAGGCAGACTCCTACGAGTGAACCAGAAACTCGCTGTGGTTTACGACGGACAGCGCGAACTTTTTACTCCGCCAAATAAATTTTGTAGGCAAAAGACGCCCGACTGTTTTCACTTTTTTTTTTTTTGGGACGGTTTGGGTAAGGACAATTTTGCTGTTCGCCCCCTCTCGCTGTGAATGGCTGTCAGCAGGCACGGAATCAGCCAATAGGGTGACGGAACTCGGTGTGCTCACTTGACGCTCCAGCCAATCAGGGACGGTCGCTTGACTGCCCACTTACAGGGAGGATACTGTTGCAGCATTCTGCCACGGCGGACTGTGCCTCTGGCTTCGGCTTCGGCGGAGGAACATTTTTAAAAAAAAGTCCTGAATCCGAAATTGCTGAAGTCTCGTCTTGTGCAGTCACGAAACTTTTCTGTTGGTGCCGAGGACCAGTGTCGACCTTGCTACTGGTGTTAATCCGCATTAAAAACGTAGGCTATTTAACTTAAATTATTTTAAGCATGTTACAATCAAAAATTTTGTGAAATTTTGCACATGAGTCCTGACCATTAGGTTGTTATACCCTCCGCCCTAACTCGGGGGGGTTGGTTTTGGATTTACTATTTCTTTATTAAGCTGATCTTATTTTAAAATACAATAAAATAATCCTAAAGTCGAATTAATTAAAAAGCAGTCGATTACATTTGTCCTCAAAATGAATCTGGACCTCACTTTATTTTCCTTGTACTTTGTTATTCTGTAATTAGACCTACGCTCTGTTTCGAAATTGCGTTGTGTACTATTTATCAATCAGTGCGTTCCATAAACGTTTTGTTACCCTGGCCATATGGTAAGGCAAATGTTCAGTAATACCTTAGGCAAAAGCCACGTCAGAGTCTTAGAAATTTCCTAATATGAAATTTGAAGTCACGTTCGACAGGCTAATAGGATATAAATTAGCATTAAATCGTGTGATCTTTCAAAAAGATAATTCTGGCTATTAGTGGGCTTTTGTGACTACGGTAATGAGCTCTCAGTCTCCATAAAAGTCGCCTTACATTTTGAAGCACTTCGATAAAATAAAATAAAAATATGTTAGTCACATATTTATAATTATTATTATAATTCTATTACACTTAGTCCACTAGTTTTTTGTTGATCTTACGAGTTTTAAAACTTTAATATGGCAGGCACACACGTGTTGTCATTGTCCTCCGTCTTTTAAGGGCTTCTGAAGCTTGGCATAGCTCAAGGCCCCAGCACGGCTAAATCTCGCCCTCTTTTCAGCAAATGGCTGCCTCTGGGATTGCAAGAAAAGAGGGTGGAGGTTCTCTTATAATCCGGGGAAAGAAAGGGAAGGTCTAGCAAAAGGGAATCATTTCTATCCACTGGACCTGAAAGATGTATCGAACCAAAGCTCATTTCTAAGCATCAAAGTAGACAACTGACAATGACCAACATTCAACACTGAAGTTTCTTGTTTTCTGTTCTGAAAGTGTCTTCTGTGGACTTGGTGAGCCTTTTCAGGGGTTATCTGCCCTCTGTCATATGTGAAGAACACCGTATGGGTTTCTCATGTCTGTCTGTCTGTCTGTCTGTGGCATCTTTCATTCAAGATTGCTCTGCCGTCTATCGGTAGTCCTATAAACTACATATTCTGCCATAGAGACCTTATAATTCAAAACGGCTGATGTGGTGAATATAGTTACCACTCAGCTTTAAAGGGTCTAGGCTTACTTGCACTCAACTGGTAAGGTTATTTTAATTTTGTGGAGGAAATTATTCTGACGGAAGTTTACCTTAAAATTTCCAGTTTGCTAAATTTATAACTTGTGTTGGGCAAGGCCGTGGTCTAGGCAACACGGAGTTTTCCTCCGTGGCATCCCAACAATTACTCCATTCACACACAGAAGAAGGCAAGGGCAAACCACTTCTGGATCATCTGCCAAGAACGCATATGAACAGGTCCCAGTCCGAGAAAAAGATGGAAGGATCCTGTTCATATGGACCTGTCATCAGACAGAACACTAAATAAAAAATATAAATGAACTTCGTATAGCAGCTGTAACTTGTCTTTACGAGCTCAGGTAATGAAGGAATTTCTGGTATCAGCGAAGTGTGTCGAATGAGGAGATAACTCTGCATAATTTACCTTTCTTTGCCATTCGACGATTATGAATGCTATCTCCATTTATACGATCAGGGCCGTGAAGATATTCTGGGTTATGACGTTGAGTAAACGAAGTTCCCCTGTGATAATTCTGAAGAAAACATCGTAAGATAGTCTCCTGTTTTGGCACTCAATAATAAACAGAAGGTGATAATATAGCACAATTTCAGCCTCGTCATGAATTGAAGGAAACAAAATAAATTTGCTTCCTAACATAAAGCCAGTTCAGCAGTTGACTTTAATTTCAAAATTGGCTGGAGCAGAATTAACTTTAAAAAAATATATATTATATATTGAGGCAAGGATAGAATCTAAATTTAAAAAAGTGTTCAGTAATCTCAAAAATAATCATAACCACAGATCGAGAAGGCCAGTCATTTTTGAGTTGTATTCCAAAATGTGGCCGACATACGCGAGTTTATTCACGGGGGCCCCAGTTGAGTGCATCGAGGCTACAAAGAGGCAGCAGATAGCAGTGGGCGGGCATCCACGGGACGCGGTATTAATAGAGCCGTCAAGGAGCCCTAACAAGGGCCGGGAACGCGTGTGTTATCGCGCGGGGGGTTGGGGGGGGGACAGTGTCGTACTAGCGGTCCCGTCCGGCAGCTCAACGCAGCTAATTGATTACTGGAAACGAGACTTGACTATTGATTCCTATGTTAAAAGTGGACCCTGTGTTGCGCTGTACAGCCACTTTGCATCCACGTACGTACGTAGGATATTTACTTATCGTCATGTTGTACGTGTAGGGTAATTGTTACAATGCTTTGGTATGCTGTGTAAGGAATTGTCGTGTTAAAGAAATACTTATTTTTATTTATTTAGTGTTCTGTCTGACGACAGGTCCATATGAACAGGATCCTTCCATCCTTTTCTCGGACTGGGACCTGTTCATATACGTTCTTGGCAGATGATCCAGAAGTGGTTTGCCATTGCCTTCTTCTGTGTGTGAATGGAGTAATTGTTGGGTTGCCACGGAGGAAAACTCCGTGTTGCCTAGACCACGGCCTTGCCAAACACAAGTTATAAATTCGGGCACCGCCGGGAATCGAACCCGAGACCCCCAGGATTACAAGGCCAGCGTTCTAACCGCTAGACCACCGGCGGTAAAGAAATACAGAAAAACTTAAATGACTGAATAAATTTATTGAAAAGAAATACAACATTTTGGATAAACGTACAGAGTTCTGTTGAAGATATGAAGTCTACGCAACCCAGCAGATCAACGTCGACATCTTCGCTGCCGTTAGAAATTCAAATCTCCCAAAGTTCACCGTTTGCTTTCAGTTACATATTAAGACGCTCAGAACGTCTTTATGGGGTATCGATACTTACCACTATGCCTGCGCAATAGCGAAATGCTTCTTCAAAAGACACTTAAATCCTCCCCCCCCCCTCAAGGAAAATTAATATAAAAATAAGTAAAGTAGAATTTAACTTTTAAGAGACTAGGCAACTCGTGTGACCCGGGATCATTGTTGGAAACAGAGGACGTTGCTTCCTTTCAAGTAAGAGTGATATAAGCCCACATTTCCTTTGAGCTCTGATGCTGACGTCAAGGACCGTGTTGTGGCTTGAATAATATTATTGGAACGTCGTCGTACTCTTAAGAGTACACATTTCCAATCTTGTTATATTGTTGTTGTTTTTGTTGTCTGTAAGAATACAGTGTCTGTGCATTTTATTTTCTAAAAATATCATCGCGTACAAGAGTCTTAAAATGTGGCATTTTACAAAAGGTTAGGAAGCCTTGTGCAGCTACGGAACAAAGGCTCAAAGAGAGCTTGGCTATAAAACGGGCGTGGTATCTGTGGGGCCGTTAAGCGAGGCAGAGACCCAGCTGGGACATCGGAAGCACGTTTTGAGGTCTTTAACGCCGCGGCAGACAGAAGAGAGGCTGGCAGCTGCTGTGGTCCGCTGTAGCTCAGCGGAAGCCGGATCTCGTACGCCTTCCTTACCCCCGAATGCTGAGACGAAGTCAGAAATCCAGAGGCCACTTGGAAGACCCATCGATAATGGTTATTAATACTGGCTTCGGAAAATAGGTTACATTTAACCGGTTCAAGATAAAATCAAACGAAAAATTGTTTTCACGGGTTCCAACTGAAGAACTGAAACTTTAAAATTTCGTATCGACATCGAAACGAATTCACATGCGGTGGAAAACTGAATTCAGCGAATAAAGAACCTTCAGGTTGTATTTTAAATCAGGACTTACTTCCATAGAAATGGAAATACTGCAGTTTTGTACTTATTTAAAAGACGAAGTCAAAACTGCCTTAATTTTAAAAGAGATCTAACTGTCTTACCTATCGTTATTGCACTTTGAAGAAACGCGAATCTATCCAACATCATCAATACGTGGGGAAATCTTCAAAGATAAAAATGTGGGATGAGAACTCCAAGCGAAACAGATTTTAACGATAATAAATTAATTTAACTGGCATACGGGCTCAATGCTGACTCCTGGGTGCGCTATTCTGTTTTTTAACTGCAGTAGGCAAGTCTAGGGGCTGGTGACAGATACTGATCGCCTCTCCTGAGGATGTGAACAGAATATTTCCATACGTGGTATCAAGATGCATTGAACTGATTGATCAGTGGTAACAGAATCCAGCCCACGTGATGAGAAGCCAACGACTAGTCGCCTCAGCTGTGACACCTCCAAAATCATAACTAACCAAACCAAGTAACTGCTTTGTGAGAATCCATCATTTTCATTACCGTGGTCATAAGGGCCCGCCACCAGTCCCTGCCCTGAGCCGGATGAATCCAATCCTGCTTCTTAAAGGATGAGCCGGGATAGCTCAGTCAGTATAGTGACTAGCTACGGGCTGGACGACCGGGGTTCGATCCCCGACGGGGGCAGAGGATTTTTTTTCCTCTAGCCATTACCGTGGTCATAAGGGCCCGCCACCAGTCCCTGCCCTGAGCCAGATGAATCCAATCCTGCTTCTTAAAGATCCATTTTAATATTATCCTCCCATCTACACCTAGGTCTTAGGCGTGGTCTCTTCTCCTTGAAGCATTCCAACGAAAGCACTGCACACGTCTGTGACCTCCGGCATGCGCGCTGCAGACCCAGCCCATCCATGTGATCGTCCCGACAAGGTCTGGTGGACTGGGCCGGTCCGACGCTGCGGTAGGAAGTGCAGTGATTTAGACGCCCGAACGCTGTTCTTCGTTCGCATGTCACGCCGCTCTAACTCAGGCGTGAGCGCGCCCACTGACTTCCAATTGTTCTTTCTCACCTACCGTCTTCCTATTTGTGCCCGGAGCCAACCCCTGCCTTCCACCAGCCCTGACAACAGACCTCTCTCTCTCTCTCTCCCGCTGCACCACTGCGATAATCAATAGAGATAGTAGTGTACCCCCGAATGGATTTAATTACAGAAAGGGATGGACGCTGTACTGGCTGGCACGAAAACAAAGCACGGTTTTGCAAGAATGCATTAATTCTTTAACTAGAAGATTTAAGAGCTCGTTCGACCTGAAAGATAATTGCGGTTCTGTTGCCTTTTGTGGTTTAGACGGTGTCCCGATATCATTCGTTTTTTTTATTATTATTTAGTGTTCTGTCTGACGACAGGTCCATATGAACAGGATCCTTCCATCCTTTTCTCGGACTGGGACCTGTTCATATACGTTCTTGGCAGATGATCCAGAAGTGGTTTGCCATTGCCTTCTTCTGTGTGTGAATGGGATGCCACGGAGAAACCGGGGAAGCCCCCGGAGGAAAACTCCGTGTTGCCTAGACCACGGCCTTGCCCAACACAAGTTATAAATTCGGGCACCGCCGGGAATCGAACCCGAGACCCCAGGATTACAAGGCCAGCGTTCTGACCGCTAGACCATATTTTTTTTTAAATCCGTGGTCTCGGATAAGAGAAAACGAATATACATTTAGAACCACTCCAAGTCTGAGCCTCAATATTTCACTTGTGGAGGCGAAACTTCCGTTGAATCTCGGTGATCAGATCACCATCCAAGCAGCAAACATTCCTACTCTACTTGCAACACTTATGCACGATACTGTCAACATACAATCGGAATAACACACGAACAGCTGAAGAGGGCGTGAATGTTGTTCTTAACTTCAACCCTGAAGATAGAAACAGGATGCTTCTCCAGAACTCTGCTACCTGCCTACCTACAAGTCTACACGGCGTCACAACTCAGAACACCTTCGTCGTAGGAGTCCCGGAAAGACGTCTAGCAGACTACACGGTGCAACAGCCATCTTCATTTGAATAAAAATTTTCTTGGATATTATCCATCGTCCCATCTCCGAAACGTCGTTTTACGTTTTATATTTACTAGACGATGGATAATATCCAAGAAAATTTTTATTCAATTGACTCTTCACCATCGGCAAGAAGTTTTAGATCTGATAGCCATCTTCATAACTTAAAATATCGCTCATTGAAATTGTTCCGTCCTTCTGAAACAACTTGAAAGCAGATGAACGGATTTTCAAGAAATTTGCTACTTTGAAGTTAATCGACACGTTCTGATTTAGGTTACAATCGGACGGCCGCTTGGCAGGAAGGTGTGCGTGCAGGGAACATCCCGAGAGACTGCGCGCCACTCACTGGCTTCATGAGCCAATTTATGCTGTGGAAGCGGACCATTGAGTTTACAAATGCGATGATCATGAGGGCTCCAATGGACAGGATACAGACAATCTGAGCTGCTCTCAAGAGCGCCGCTGCTTCAGATGTCGGCTTCTCAGTTGTTTTGCGCAGTCCAGCCGCACGCATCACCAGGGTTATCCAACTCAGCGACAAATCTACGCCAATCGAATTTGTTTCATTGGCGATCGCCGAAGTTAAACGCCCTGGAAGCTACTGACCTGATTTTTAACCCTTTAAAAGACAGCGTTACCCGCCGGCTTTAACTCCTAAATTTTCTCACAGAATGTACTTGTGTATTGATTTCGTATGATTCTCAGAATAAAAAGACGATTACTTCATAAAAGATTATACCTACATAAATTGATCTTTCTAATGGTGAGGCGTCGTGTTTTCTATGCGGTACAGACTGAATCCTTTAAATGTTCTTTAGACGAGGTTCCTTTTCAAAGTGTTCATTTCCGAAGCGCTGGCCTTCCAATCTTGCTTAATCCTTCGGTACTTCAAGAAGTCGACGAATTCGCGAACACTGCGTAGAATTGAAATAATTGTGATCCATTTATATGGATTCAAATGGAATCAGAATGAACCCAGCTTACAGTGTGAAGTTTTTTTTATTATTATTATTATTTATTTTTGTGAAGTATTGTCGTATGGTTCGCCCCAGTTTTGATATTTCGACTTTTTGAAATTTTTTAATTTTAAACTCCCCTGTCCCCTTGTTTTTCACGCCTTGGTATGTTTTTGCGTTCTCACTGCGTTGCAGTTCGAGCTCGTGACGAGGGAGGATCTGTCTGCTGGCTAATGGCTGCCGCGATAAGCTAAGTGGCTTTACACCGCGGTGCTGCTGTCGTTGTTCTGCCAGATTTTCCTTTGTTTAGACGCCATTTATGAAGTGAGCTGGGGTTGGGGTGATGTGCGATTGGAGCAGGATAATGCCGTGTGATAGGATCGAGAGCTGAAAATTAGCTGATGTCCTCGTTTTTCTCCTGCGATCCTTACTTTTGTTATCACCTCCCTCTACAGAGTCCTCTTCATCAATTTAAGCCTATTTGTGGAAAAAAGATGTGCTGAACAGGGTAATACAGAGAGACGCGTCTGTTATCAAGAACACGGCGTGGGCGCAGTACAAAGGAATGAATAGTTCGAGTCGTGTTTGGTTTATAGCCAGCAAATCTGAACCGCGGGTTCATTTAATGTTGCACATACTTTGTTTTCAGTTAGTCTCTTATCTGTCGGCATCGTCCCGAACTAATGTTAGGAGTAGGTAATCAATGTAGAGCGAAATTATTGTCGTGCTGAATGCACACATTCGAGATTCGCGTGTGTAAACAAAGGTCCGCGGGTTCAGTGCATATTTTACTTCGTTACTTCTAAATCCGCACAGAAGTTTCTTCCGACAGCTTGCTAATCCATATCAAATACTTCACTATATTTAGTGAACGTGAAATATTGCACAACTGAAGATCCATTCTTTGCTATTGATTTCAGTTTGTCTTTTAAAGTTGTGTAGGATCGATTGTAATCATCTGAAACCCGAGGTGTGTGCAAATTTGTTAATATTGGAGATTTCCGTCTTCTGGGTTGTTGCGCTGTGTAGTCTGGTCGATGTTAACCAACGTTTTAGAGGTCATACTGCCTCCGTCATCAGGGCGATGAATATTCCAATAGGGTGTGAGGTGCTAGGTTTATAGGCCGGAAAGTGAAAGGTGTACGCTGTTTGCTTTAGCGTGCTCCCAACTATAAAGCCCCCGAAAGGACAGCAACTCCTCTAACGTATCGGTGTTGCGGGACTACATATGTTTGTGGCGTGCGCTTAGACCTGAGACTTTTAGAAATACTGGACGTTTGTTTAACTGTTGCCATTCTGATCAGGCAGAAAGGAAATTTAGAAAAGTTCTGTTGCAACAGATATCTCGGATTGCAAGAATTCACATAACTTAACACATTCAAGTTACACACGTAAAGATATTGTACGTGGTAGATCCGTTATTTCAAGATACGCGAATGTCATTCACTGTATTGAATGTCGCTGCCGAGTGGTTAGCACCACGGCTTTGTATTCGGAAGGTCCTGGGTTCGAATTCCGGCTATACTAAATGAGATTTCGTGTTTTATATGTCATAAGGGAAACATTGTTTTAGGTTCACAGAATTGTAAATACGTTCAAGGATTGCTTTTTATCAAAATAATTGTACTCGTAATTAATTGTAACGGTTTTGATATCCTTTATGCAGGATTTCCAGTTGTAAAGCAAAAAAAAAAAATTTAAAAAAATGACTGCAATGGAATTTGAATGCAGGGCTCTCAAAATCCATATTTCCTCGTCCGAATTCAATGGGTTTTGCAGTCTGTATGGCCAACGGGGAGAAGCGAGGAGACGCGCTATTCCGAGCAGCTCAAACAGCGAAGCCTGGCAACAGTTTAATTGAGTCGTGGCCCGCGCTTGTTGACTCGCCCGTCCGCTGGGGCCGCCATCTGGCCTCTAGCAAAGCGCGGATCCCTCAACCCCTTCAAGTTCTGCAGAAAAACTTGTGCGGCAGTGCTCTGTTCAGCCTAGTTCCTGTTCCTGCTGCACTCAGAGCCACAGCAGAACTGCCCTGCTCTTCGAATTCTGTCACAAATTCCGTAATCCTGCCACTTCCACCGCGGCGTCGACCGTGAAACAATGACCGATTGCCAGACAGGATTTTTTTATTGATTATTTTGCCAGGTGGGATAATAATAAAAATGTACTGGCTAAAATGTCACCCTTTAATTCCCAGTGGTAACTATGCGTACCACCTACTTTAACATTCAATGACTGTATTTTTACGGAGAGAATATTTATGGGTTTAATATTATTTTGCGAATAAACAGCTGTTATCTCCCTGAACAGCGTTGACCAAGTGGCCTTCGTAATGGCGAAGTGGTGTGTTTTCTTTAAGGTACGAACTGAATTCTTAAACATTTGTATGGTCTCGGCTTCAGTGGGTTAATTTACATTTTCTTTGATATGTTTTAATAGGATTTGAGGTCCTTGTGACGGTGAGTCCCGAAGATGGCAGTCTTCTTGGTGTAGTCTGCTGGAAGACAGAAACGAGGTTTCCGGTAAGTTCCCACAGAGGCAAAGAACACGTCTGTCTATTTTATGAGCATCTCCACAGCAGAATATTATCAGGAAGCCCGTGTTTATTCCCCGACAAACAAGTCGTTTCGTCCGTTGCGACGTAGTGCCCTGGTGTCAGAACGAGCTCCGGGCAATGAGGTGCAGATTTCGAAGAGCGTGTTACTTGAAGCCCCAGAGAGCAGCTCAGCGCGATGAACGTACATCAGCACGTGCCATTGCCGCTGGGTAACTTGCCCGGTCTTTATCCATTCCGAACTACTCAGCATGTGTAAGACTTGATGGCTGTATAGTTTACGGACGTTTCAGAGTTCCTTGCTGCCTCCGTCATCAGGACGATGATTGTAGATAGACTTCATGATTGTGATGGTCGGAGGTTGGTGGAACTGACTCAGTGTCATGGACCAGTGGCGATGATGAAACTAAAGAGTTCTGTTTCGACGTACATGGTTAATAGTTATAACGTCAGTGTGTCTACGGTGGTGGTGGTCCGAAAATTACGAATTCCTCTTCAGTCTGACGACACGTGTGGCCGCTGCTCCGGAAGTGTTCGTGTGCCCCAGACGGTGTCGTGTTGCTGTGCTCAGTTCCCTGATTTCATCTCGCACATATCCGCTCGAAGCAGCTCAGGGGGTGGGTTCTGTTCAGCGTTTGCATGGCTTTGTGTGCGAGCGGTATCAGTAGCCGTATTCTACGGCGACCACCGCCACCAGACGGCATTGCGATGCTATCGGTCGCTGAAGCTCTCTCGCTGATTAGTCAGGGGCGTGGGCCCAGGCTGCTTCACACTCAGCTCGACCTATTTGACTCCTGCAAACAAAAAAGTTCTTTACAATTCTAACCAGCCGCTGGTTAGTTAAATGGAGCTGGCTGGCTGGTGCACCGGTCAGTGTGATTACAGCATCTTCTCACGGATACCGAGAGGTTTCGAGTTCAAATCTCGGCCTGGAGACGGGCTAAACTGATTAAAGTTTTTCGTGGTTTTTCTTAGTCTCTCCAGGAAAATACCTTGGGCCACAAACGCTTTCTTATTATTCATGAAACTTTATATCATTCGACGCTATATAATCTGAGCAACTGGCAGCGACTTTGTATGAAAGTAAAATGCACAAAACGGATATATAATGGACGCCGTGTCTTGTCTGTCTGTCTGTCTGCACGTATTGTCTCCTAAACAATCCGAAAATTTAAATTAATTCTTTTATTCACAGTTCCACTTTGAACGTTACTTGGAATATTTGATTTAATTATGAACTGGTCTCTTATAACTCGCGTTTTTTTTTATAAAATCAATATATTAGTCTTAAAAAATTACCAAATTCTGCTCCTCGTACAAAAAAGAAGAGAAAATAACTCTAACTTTACAGTAATTTTGTCATAATGGTGTACAGCTACTAAGTAGTTCTCGATATAGGGAAATTTGTTACAGTGAAAGTATTTTCTGATGCTTTCATTGCGATTAAATCAGGAAGAACGGGTTCGTAGCTGCACTGTAACCAATGAATATAAACGCCGAAGATGAACGCAAGACAGCAAATGGTCCCTGCAGTCCACTTATACTGTCCATTAACAGAAGATATCAACACGTAAGTTCTTCAGATGTGTCGCTGACCTCGAAGTTAATATTCGGTATTATTTTTAAAGACTTTGTTCTGGGTTGTGACGCCGTGTACATGGCGTCATAACCCAGAGGCACATCATTGCCACGAGAATCTCAAATCTCACTCGGTATTTTTTTATGATTCCTGAAATTATTAATCGGTTTCAAAAGTTGTTCCTAATTTGTACGCATTCCTGATCAAATGCCCTTTCAGCCTAATGAAATTAAGTTTTATCTTCTGAAGGTTGTTAGTACAGTTGTTTATAAAGCAGGACAGAGCGTTTCCTGCCATGAAATGCTAATTTTCTGGCACTGAGAATGATTTTGCGAGAATTGCGTAAGTTTATTATGATAAACGATAATCACTTGCATGAATCGTGGCCTCGCTGTCCCGCGCTTCTGTGCTCCGGCACTAACCTCGGTGCCTCGATTGGCTTTCTGAAAGCAAAAGTCGCTGTCAGAATGGACACCGGAGTTTCTTAGAACTCGGCCCGTAGCACTTTCTTCACGCCCTCGAAACTTCTGCTCTCCCTTTGCTCCTGTCAAATCGATACCCGAGGAACTATTAGGCAGTTCAAAGAGAAAGGAATAGACGTGATATATGCATCAGTTCCAGTTTATTTATGAGTCCATCAGGCTGCAATTTCATGTCTTAGTGACAGTGTTACAGACAAAATGCCGAATTCGGTACTTTGTAAAATTCCTAGCAGTTCCATGAAATCGGGGCTGCTATAGTTCAGTCGGTATCGGGGTTCGATTCCTGGAATGGGCAAGAGACTTTTCTCTTGGTCTTCGCGTCCACATCGGCTGTAACCCCTACTTAGTGGTCCCAGGGTATTTGAGGACTTTCCCCGATGGCAAAGAGGCCAAGGTCTGAAGCTGACCCTACGACGTATACCTGTATGTACTGCGGAGGTCAACAAAGCGTGGAGCTATACCTCTACTACCCCATGCATGTTCATGACGTAGTGATTAATAAATACTGGTGTAAATGTTTTATACTATTCTATAAAATGCCAAAAACTGTAATTAAAAGTGTGGAATTTTCTTGTTTTAAAGTTTGCATAAGCACAGCTGTTATTAGAATGACGGACTTGTTGCCAGCTTAACCTAAGTATCTTTTGGAATTTCATGGATTTGGTAGGATTTAGACAGAATAACACGGAACATTGAATCTGAAGTAATTGTCTCAGAATCGCAGTTCTGCTACACGAAATGCTCGTTTGGCTGATAAAAATCGGATTCATATTTATTTTTTTATAACGAATACGAGATTTTAAATTCGAAACTGTAAATTGCAGCTTTGAACTTCCGACAGCCGAAGCTGGAGGACGCGGGTGTCGCTTTGACAATCAAGATCAGGATTTGGTGTGCCTCGTGGTACACTCCAACCAAACCCTTCGCTAATTGCGACACGAAGCACGAGGAGGACTTGAGGGGGCTAGGGGATGGGTCCTTGCACCTCACCTACTGAAAACCTCTTTTGTCTCGCGTTCTGTGACGGCGACTGCTTTAACATTAACACAGGCCGAGGAAGCTGTTATAATTGGACTTGTCTACTACCGACTCAGCCATAACAATGATAATAATTGGGACCCGGAGGTAGCGGTAAGACAGACATTACCATATCGAGTGGGTCCTCGGCTATTCCTTCCATTTGTACCACGTTAACAAGTTGATCTGGGGTTAGATCAAACTCTGCCGAAGCGAACTTGCAGCATCTTTTCCTTTCTTCCAGATTGATCTTGACTTTTGAAGTGAAGGAAAGGTTCAGATCTGCGCCGAGAGACCATGCATGATGGAATTCGCAAGAGCCCACAGACATACTCACTCTTTTTGCTACAAGTGCGGGAGACGTTAGACGCTTTGTTCCCGCAATGAAATTCCGCAACTTTGAAATGGAAAATAAGGATCGGTCCTTGAATGCTGAAGCGTGTATAATGACGTGTCCATTGAAGTTTCCGCTTGCACTCATTTAAAATATTACATTATAATGAAACATCGGGAAGAATTTTTCACAGTTATCTGCACTGGAAAGGAACCGAACATCTGCGTAAAAAGAAACTTTTTGTACTTTGCGTTCGATCGTTATGTCATAGGCCAGAGTCAGTTTCTACATTTCAAGTGTAGACGAACATAAATTATCCTAATTTTTTTTTTTGTAACGGGAACCATACAATTTCTAATAGAGTTTACTTAGCGGAAATTCGGACAATTTTGATTTCTGACGTTCTCTCAAAATTCTGGTAACCACTTGCACCATCTACAGTGCCCCACCGCACAAAACGTCTTTATCACCGAGAGATCCTCGGTATTCAAATTGTTTCTAAACTTCAATACTTGATAAATTTATGCGAAATGAAAAAAAAATCTAAGTGCGAAGTTGACGTTTGAAACGTCGGTGAACTTCTACCAGAACACGTAGCGCTATAACCCAGAAGACAGCCATCTTCGAAAAGAAATTTGATACTGGAAGTATTTTGAACCATTAAAGCTGTCAACATTTTTAGACACATCACGGATTTAATATCAACATGAAAAACGTTTGATTAACATAAATAGAAAACAATGTCGCATGCTACACGATAATCATAAGCAAACCATAAACTGAGACTTAACATAAAGATGACGGTGTCTAAAAGGATGTTGCGGCGTGTAATCTGATATAATTTTATCGTTGTTTCGAATGTGCTTACTGCCTCCATCATCAGAACCCTTCCTACCCCTAATTTATAATAACTACGAAAATGACCATTGTAGCTTGCTCAGCTGTGTTCTCGTGACACATATTTCAGATTGAATAACAGCAGATTTTTCCTTCTGTGGGCTGAATTCAATAAAACAATATTTCACAAACGTGGTTACACGATGCAAACATGAACATAAGTGCTAGTTTTTATAAAATTTAGGTAATGCGATATAGATCCTCAAGCAACATACCTCGAGTGTAATGGTTTGTTACAGCGTTGCTAAAATATGGAGGCGCCTCAACATGTAGAAACCACATTGTGCACCCCTGATCTTTTTAGGGCCCCCCTCAGTTAGCCCTGATCGCACCGCCATAACCAAAAAGACAGCCTGAGGTCCACCTATGTCATGTACTTGTCGCCTTTTCGAGAGACTTGTGTGTATTGAATTATTCCACATGCTTTTGTCATTATACCCTGCGAATCCGAGAAGGGTACACTAATATGTGTACAAAAGTTCTGTTGTAGAACTCTGAGTTTCATTACAGGAGTTTGGATAGAACTTTGTCCAGAATTATTTCAGTTTAGTCTGAATTTTCTGTACCTACTCACAGATTCAGTTTAACATTATCGTCCAATCTACGCGTTAGTTTCTTATGAGTTTTTACAACCAAAATCTTACTGCCCATACATTACTGCAGAACGTGGAGCCCATCAAAGAATAGTGGAATATTAACGCTGCGCCATCTCTCCCCAGGTGTAAACGTGACATCGCTCTCTTCACAATAACAAAGTTAACGAAGTGCCATGATTTGCAGCATGGAATATGAGATCCGTCTCGTGGGTGAAATATAGCTGCCATCTCGTTGGCAAGAATGTTGATTACAACGCGTGACATAAACTGTACAGATTTCTGTACAATCATTGACGCGGAAGTTCGTGTAAGTCGGCGGGAGTAATCGAGTATTGCATCCATTGTCATATGAGGAAATTTTATGGTAAGCTATTATTTATGTAATAACAGACACCATGGATGATGTCGTAGACAGACGGGTTTTGCATAATTAGATTAAGTACCTTAGTTTGTTTCTGATGTTCCTAAGCTGCGCCGTACTGACAGTGAAGATAGTGATTTTCCTGGTCATACCGAAAAAACAATACTGTCGTCTTCGTAATACAGTTCACACTAACCTGTCAGTGGTCAGTGCAGAATTTCTTGTTACAGGGGTGTGCTGTGTTTAGAATTTTCCATATTATTCAGAAGTTGGCTCAGTGAAATTCTGTACTGTCTTCACAGTGAGTATTTATTAACTGCAATAACAGTATATATTGAAAATGTAGAAATGTTTCAGTTGATCTGTGTGATTCATGAAGTCAACACAAGACAATCATAATTTATCACAAAATTACAACAGTCTTCATATTGCTCCTTTAGTATTGGAAATTCTGGTCTCCATGTAAGTAGTCTCGATAAAACCCAAGTACAAAATTGAATCATCCAAAACATGCTGACAGCACAATCTCTTGAAACATTGTGTGGGAACAATATATTGGAGCTCTTTGAAAAATTAACCGAAGAATAAATGATGTTCACATACTTGCAACAGAATCGTACTGACACACTCCTAAAAGTTTCATCATGTTTTCTAGGCATCAGCATTTGATGTGTTTATTTCAGGACTTCTCTGCTTGATAGAGCTGCTGTAATCAAGGCAGATGATATAAATGTGTTTGGGTGATATAACAACCATAACGTAATATTCACAATAATGAAGACCCTTCTGGCATGTTTTTGGACAGCACTCTGCCCCTCAGCTGCAGTAATGTCAAGATAGTGAGAAATCAGGTATGAATGACATATATTGTGTAACAAACAAGTGCATGTTAATGTGCTTAGCAAACAACATAAGCCTACCAGACTACATGGCACAACATCCTAGAAGACTGCCTTATTCAGTAGAAGAAAACAGTATATTAAGATTAGAAAAGGATATAACTACACTGTATGCCATTCCCTAATTTCCTGTTGCTAGATGACATTAATTTAACTGTTGGCACATTTGAAACTTGACTTTTGGTCATGTTTGTCAGCCCAGGAGATACCAGGAGAACACTCTCATATCCCATTTCTTAAAATACAAATCTCAGGTAACAAGAAGTGGGGAATTGCATTTATCTAATCAGTACATATACCACTTGAAAACTGAGCCATTAATCTAAACACCTGTTCAAGCAGAATTCATGCAGTTCAAAGACAGTTACAAGATGAAAGCACAAAGCAGGTGTTGTCATCTGTGTGCGGTAAACTGCACTCCCTACTGACAGGTTAAATAGTTGAGTGATTTGTAAATTTGTTTCAGGGTTGCTGTAATGAGACAGCATCCAAAGATATTTTATAGCATATAATGGTCACAGCTATAGAGATTTCACATGTTACACTGCCAAGTACTGCTTTAAGAATGGTCACCAGACTTCCCCAAGAATTTCGTAAATTTCTGAAAAATTGTTATCATCTGCGACGAATACTACGAGAGACACAGAAATCTCTGGAAGAAATTACAGCAGCATGTATCTTTCCAGGTGGTAAGTAGATGCTTTAATGTTGTGCTTTTAAAAAGTTTCAGGTATATTCTCAACATTATGAACTTGACAACATGATGATCTTAGTGTAAGTTGCCTACGTAAATTTGAATACTCACTTTCTCAAGAGAATGTTTGTCATGCCTCTAAAACTGTTATTGATGACTTGGTTTTAATGTTTAAAAGTACAAGCATTTATAATTCAGTAGTACTGAAGGGCAAAGTTAATATTTTTCAATGCAAATTTAACCTTTTAGAGGTATCCATGGCCACTTTAAGACAGGTGTCAGTGAAAGGCGAGTTTAAGACATGTAGTTTATGTTCAGTCTGCATTTGCTCGATTGAACACCATAACACTATGTTAAGTTTCAAATAAATTAAGAAAATGTAATTTGTTCAACTGTTGATGTTGAATGGTAAACTTCTGGATATTAATTGAGATAGGCAGGGATGGTTTTATATACTGTACTGTGTCAACAGTAAGCAAATTATGCCATCCCAGTGGAGAAAAAGTACAAAATTATGTTAACCACCATAAGAGAATTATCTGGTGATGAACGTTACACTTTGTCTTTTCTTTGCAGAAGACCTGAAGGCTCAGGTGTTGGTGCCAGCTGTTCTCCAAAGACTTCGTTCTATTCTGGAGTGTCATCCAGCGCTCGTTATACTGGGACAGAGCTGCCACGCAAAAGCTGTTCTCGTAAATGCCCTACTTGGGGAAATCATTCTGCCACCAGGCGGCAGCTCATGGAGATGGGTTCGCTTTCTGTACGGTCTTTCTAGTCACATTGCAGTAACGCGCAGCTCAGATTTTGAAGTTGTAGATGATCTGCAAGCACATGATAAAGCATGGACGATTGTACCGGAAGAAGATTTGAGGAGATCAGAGGCTGAGGAGAAGGTAAACTAGTGTTTTCTCTTTAATCAGTGGCAAAAGTGTCATAAGCTTACATTTATCATAATTATAGTAGTGTGTAATTTTTGCATTATTTCAGTATGTTATATTGTCCTCTTTTTTTGTACCGTCGGGTCGGAGTCGATCCCTAGTGACACCATGAACATGATCCTTTCATCCTCTTCAGGTTGACAGGGACCTGTTCATATGCTTTCTAGGCAGGTGATCCAGAAGTGGTTGCCTTCTTCTGGGTGTATGGAGTAATTGTTGGGATGCCACGGAGAAACCGGGGAAGCCCCCGGAGGAAATCTCCGTGATGCCTAGATCACGGCCCTGCCCGACACAAGTTATAAATCTGGGCACCACCGGGAGTTGCATATTGTCCTACTGCCCTTAATATGTAAAAGTACTTTTTATTTCTAACTTGTTCACACATTCTCTCTTTATTTGCCATACTACTTCGTGTTTCTTGTTCCAGGACATGGCAGAACATTCCACAATATTAGACATTGAGATTTGTCATCCCCTCTTCAAGGACAATGTTCAGCTTCTTGTACCTCCAGACTTTGATACTCACCACTCACCGACGTTCAGAGAGATTCTTTCCAAAGGAATGGAAAATGTGTTACCTGTCTTCTTATATGCAGTAGGAGAGGATTCTCTGACTGACCAGGTTTGTTACAAAATATTTTACAGTTTGATACAGATTTAATACTTTTCAGTAGACACAATATAATATTAATGCAATGAAACTCAAAATACTCAATGGACACAATGTAATACTAATGCAATGAAACTCAAAATACTCAATTGTAGGAATTTGTTATGTAGACTGTTTGAAAGAAAAATAATATTAGAAAAGCGTACTCTCTTGAGTAGACTGGAATTCCGAAGGCGCTGTTTATGCCACATTACTGGCGATGTCTGCAGGGAAACCATGGGAGTAACAAATTCATCAGTGATATCAGAGTGAACAATGGTATCTAAGGTCATTGTCGCAGTAATGTGCTGTGAGGTCATTGTTACAGCATTGTGATCAAACATTGACCTTAGTTCACATTGTCACTGAATAACAGACCAGTGGGCCCATGAGGTGTTCTTCACTCATACAAGAGTGTGAAGAAGACCTAATTTAATTAATTAAGTTATGTGCATATTAATATTGGTTATGGACAATTAAAATGTATGAAGGCCTTCAGTTGCAATTCATCATTCAAAGAGTGCAAGATATAATTACACAAGATGCAAGCTGCCAATTGCAGAATTTTGTGAATTCATTTATTAGTCCAGTGGTTCCTTGGATGGGCAGACGCCCAGACAGACGTCCACTCATGGACATGATGGTATCAGACGGCAAGCTTTTAGTAAAATAAGTAATGTACGTTAATCAAACCGTTCTAGGTGATACTTACGGGCCTACATTATTCATGTGCTTCTGTTTGTGTAGATATTAACTCCAACTCGGTGATCTACGTTCTGTGGGCGGTGTTAACTGCCTAATAGTTGAACATAACCTAAGTTTCCAAGTTTATAATTTTTAATGTTCCAAAAATGTATTCATATGATATATAGGTACTTGTGGGTTATCGGGACACATCACTTTAAAAATAGGTTACGTTACGTTAATGTACTTGAAAGTTATTATATTTTATTTCAATAAATGACGAATTATTATATTTTATTTTGATATGCGTGAGATGTTAATTGTTGTTACTACCTGTCTCCGGAGGCCAAAATTCTCTTATAGATTTTAAAATCGTTTTAAAAATATTGCAGTTATCATTTGTATGACGCCACATGAACTCAGCTAAATATGAATCCAGATGATGTTGGGCAGTGCCTCTCTGTTTTGTGTCCCGATAACCCACAAGTACCGATATATATAATGATACACACACACACACACGTGTTAATGATGTTTGTACCAGTCATATTACCTGTAAAATAAAGTACTCTTCACTTTGAACTGCTCTTTTAGAAAAAAATATTTTTTGTTTGTTTGTAAATTATTTTTGTGTGTCCATTGTATGTATATTATTTCCTAAACTGATGTATTTGTTTTCATCTGTTGTAGAATATTTGTGACCTGCGGGAGCTGAAGCAGCTGTTCCCTGAGCTGCCAGTACTCTTCATCTGTACCTCAGCTTCTCCTCAGGAATTAACTGAATCAGAGCAGCATCAGCTGCAGGAGAACACGTGCCTTCAAGAGGAATCCTCTTACACATCACAGTGTCTGCGTCGCGAGGATATTGACAGGTCTTTATTGGGATTAATTCAGCAACTTGCAAGGATAGGTAAGGACATGGATTTTCAACCCAGACCTTGATTTTTTCGGTTATTGTCTTTATTTTGGGATACTTCTTGTAATTATTGGTCATTCAAGATAGTAAATTGAAATTATGAGAATGTTTTTATAAATAAGATGTGTCTTCTGGGATGTTGCGCTGTGTTGTCTGGTAGAATTTTGCTGAAGTTTTTGCACTTCACTCGCACTGTGAAGCAACAGTAACAGCACCATCAGACCTGAATTCTTCACCAGTTTGGTCAGAAGCAAATTTAAGAGCATTCTGTTTAAAATTCTGAATGTAACCGATAAATTTGTGAGGTGCACTAGAGTTTGTTCTGTCGATATGTTATTGGGAAAAATCTGTACACTCACTTTAATTTGAAGCTCAGTGTTGGTGTTTGTGGAACTAAATCAGGAGCTGAGCACAATTTTAATCCGGTGAACAGAAGTTTTCATGACCTTTCTAGGATACCTTCACCTGGAAGAGACAGATTCGGAGGAGCCTAGCATGACAACTAGACCTTGTTGTGGCCAGTTTTCTGTCGGTAGTGATTTTCTTGATGGACTGCATAAACTTGACCAGTTGCTGTTTTTTGTTCGTGGTTGTCTCCAGTCACATTTAGTTCATGTTTCATCAACCCTTAATGATGTAAGTAAATTGCATGAATCTGCTAGTATCCCATGAAGTTTTATAAAAGCCATCCAGTATGAGTATTCTAGATTCTGTAGAGAAACGTGGCTTCTGCAAAGGGTATTCCACATTTTTTATTTGAAAAAAGTGCACATAAATAAGGAAGCAGATGTAATGGTTTTATTTCATGAAAAGTAATAGTGGTAATGCACTATACCGGTATTTTATACAAAGCATGTAAAAGTCATGCTTAAATTGATGTAAGTGTAATAGTTATTTTAGTCAACTTGGAGTGTGTTACTTACAGCTGCAAGGAAAACGTCTGTTCTGTATTGTGACAAACATTATTTGTCTTGTCAGGGTTGGTATTCTGGGTTGTAAAACTATGTAGACTTGTAGGTCGATACCAGTGTTTTAGAGGAACATCCTCTCCTCTGTCCTTGACCCTTAACAGGGCGTGGTGGCGCTTCATGGGTTGGAATTGTCCATCCATGAAGCGCTCTCATGGGAATAGAATCAGGTATTTTCCCCTTGCCTCCCTGATGCTATGCCGTTGTCTAAGCTAGGTAGTCCATCCGCCTTCGGGGACGATTTCTCGCCCCCAAGCCAAGCTGACTTGGCTGCTTATCCTCCATTTTTAGGGCAGATGGAAACAGTATGTTCCTACAAAATGTTGGCTCCTGCCTGTGAGTCTACACAGCATTACACTGCAAAAGAACAAAATTGTTAACCCTTACTACCATGAGTGCCTCAGATTGCACATTTGTTTGAATTGTTAATTTGTTACTCTTTGTTTACCAGATTCACAGCGAGTGTTTGCGAAGGTTCATTCTCTCAGCGTTTGACATGGCAAGAGAGATTCAAATTACACCCCGACGTATTCAGTACGCTCAGGAGAAGGAAGCAGATCTCTACAAAAGTTTAATGATTGTTGCCAGTGAGAAGCAGAAAGAAATTACTCACCTAATAGAAGTAACGCTACAGGAAATGAGGGAAGGCCTCATTGAAATTGCGGCAGAATATCAGTATCGTGGTATGTGATTTGCATACAACAAAACTATTTAACACATTCCTCAGTATGAGAATTTTATGTTAGATGCTTCATGCACAGTCTCATTTCCAATCCGATTTAGTATTACTGAGTAAACACATCATAGTTGCCCTGCTTAGTAGGGCAATTTTCATACATATATTTTTATTAAAAAGTTGCTTTTAAAGATGTTTCGTTCAGCTTTAACTTTAAAAAGAATATTGTTTTTATGACTAGGTGCGTTATAAACATGGAAGTCAGTATAAGTGTAAAATAACAAAAGTGGTTACTGGTAAAATTTATTTCTGACATGAATTAGTCACTGTAAATTAAGCAGTGGTTATCACTGAAACATTCAAATGATAAGTTATGCCATAACTAATTTCAAGTAATTATTGTTATCTTTATTAATGTTATTGCTATTAGGTGTGACATTGCTGGACAGCGAGGAGGTTGAATCGTCTCAAGATGTACTACTTGCCACCTCTGAAATTCAGCATTTGGTACTGACTAGATTGAGCTCCGTTGTTGCACAGCAACTTGTCCAGTCAGTGGCCTGTCTCCAGGACACTTTTGTTGGCACATTACAGCGGTGCTTAGAGAGCTTGGAAAAGAATTGCTATGATCAGGATGGACGTTCATCAGCAAGTGATGCAGTCAAGCAGGTAACAGTTCCAGCTTGTAATGTTGGATACGTCGATGTAGTAATGGAGCTTCCGTCATGAATCACATGGCCCAGTATGCTAACCCATCAATTGAATTGCATTCTGTTGGATTTTAAACTTACGTTATATAAATGTATCATCAACAGTGCAAGTTATACATGAACTCCAGCCATGAAAACCCACGGATGAGAGTAATTATCATTGCTAGTCTTTTTAATTTTATATTTTGGCTGCACATACTTCATTTAAGTATTTAAATGATGATTATTTCTTCACTTGCAGATCTTGACTGCAGCTTATAATGTAAAGTTAACTACCTCGTCGTCATCTTCCTTTATACACACGTTCTTGGAGCGTTTGCGGAAATTACTACACACGTTTCAGTTACCGTGGACCGCAGCTCGTCGCCTGGACGTTGCCTGGAAAAAGAGGGTGGCCACAGAAATGTTGGACTCTCTGAGTGCAACACGACTTGCAAAGAACATTTCATCCCAGGTAAGAAGAACAGCTGCAAAATGCCGTATTCTAGCAGAAAGTTACTATAATCTTATTGTAAAACTTGAACACTACTTCTTTAAATGAGACTTGAGACTAGACGTCCCTTTCATTGCTTTCAACTCGAGGAAGCTTGTCTGGGAGTCGAACTCAGTTTGGGCGGCACACCAAAGTATAATTTGTCATCATTATAACTTCATTTTCATGCCACTAACACATATTGTTTGTTGTATTTCAGTTCCGTGACAGAGTCAAAGCTTCACATGAATCTTTTCAGTCTGCCCTTCGGTCTCTGGAGAGTCATTATTCAGGACACCTGGAACGAACAGAAGAGCAACGAATTGCAATTCGCAAATATCACACACCCAGACTTGCTCGCCTTGCATTGGAGAGTACATCTATGTGTGACATGATACGATATGGTAAAGAGAGTTTACATGTTAATCTGCTGTCATGTGCCATGTGCAGAATTAGTCTGCTGTATAATGAAAGTTTGATTAAATCCAGTATTGTATTTTCAAGCTGTCAAAATTAATGAGCTTTACTCGTTATTTGGTCCATTTTCCAAAAAAAGAAAAACTGTTATGGTATTTAAATGGTGAAGAAAATAATCCTTTGCAAGGGTGAAAAATGTTCTATTTCTGTCATTTGTAAAATGCCTTTCTTTGACTGCTTTAATAAAAATACCACTCCAAATAAATTGATACTTTATTTCCAATACTAAACTAGAATTGTCAATGAAAATGCCAGTGACTTGTATCAGGAAGTTCTGAGATGGCTCTTAACTAGGACATATCATTCTCGATGAGAAGTTTTATGTGGTTTCTGGCTGTCTTTTGAGTCATATTCCTGACAAAGTATTTTGGAACAAGAAGCCTGAACAAATTGTTTTCCAATCTTTTCCTTTTTCTGCTGCTCTGAGAGCCCATAAAACACTTTTGGCATTGATGTATTTAGTCATGTACATTTCTCGTTTCTTAGTTTGTTTCAAAGAATGCACCCAAGTCTGTGCCCTATTTAACATTTCATAACATGCTTCTTTTTTACAGTGTCGTATTATTAGCCCACTGTCCAACCCCGCCACCCCACCCCCAGCTGTAGGACTATTCCTCATCATCTGTCTGTGACTGTTTATTCAGTTATTTTACAGCTCTACATAATTTTTACTCGTTACCAAATATTAATAGGATGATCAAATGAAGAATGAGATGGGCAGTGCATTTTGTGCACATGAATGAGTAGAGAAATGTGTACAAAATTTTGGTTGGGAAGCATGGACCAGCGGTGGGCTCTTGTGAAGACAGTAATGAACCTTTGGGTGCCATAGAAAGCAATGAATGTCTTGACTAACTGAATGTTCTATTAGCTTCTCAAGTTGGACTGTGTTGAGTTGAGTTAGTTACA